ACACACACACACACACACACACCTACACCACCCCAAATTTGGAGTTTAGAAGTAGTTGAAGCTTACTGGCTCAGAAGAAATACATGGCTCTTAAATAGAGGAAATGGCAATCACACATAAAACTGCTCCACGCTGAGTCCACACAGAGCAAGCCAAACTTTACTTCTTCCTACAGTAGCTACGGTTTTCATTTGGCTCCTGCCAACCTTGCCAACCAAATCCAAAGGGGTGTTGATATGTTTTCTTTATTTATGAAACTGTGTGCTCCTCTCCCCACTCATCTAGAGACTGAATAGATAAGTCAGCTGTGAGACATTTTTCACTGAGGAAATGTTGGAGCCAGTCTCGTACTGGGGTAAGCCCGAGGGAGATTTATGGAAGTGAAGAAGAATTCACTTGGTCATCTCATCACACCCCCTTTGCATACCTTTTCCTTCAGTTTAGCATCTCTGCCATCCCCTCGTTTAATTCATTTACATCTATATTTACAGTACTGAAATTAACATTTTTGGTGTCACTCACCACCAGCACTGTGCCTGAATGCTCTGCCCTGGCCTTGTAATATTTATGGATTGCACTGATATTTGAAAACTGGACTTAGCCTTGCTATTCCATAGCCTGAGCCGCTCTACAAGAAAGTCTCAGGCTGGGATGAGTGATCGATTCCCACCATCATCTCAGCAGTCTGCAATCAAAATTTTAAATGGACACTTCTGAATATACATTTATATAATTTAGGTATCATAAATTTCATAATATGTGCAATATCAGGTGTCTTAAGTTAGGTGAGTTAAATGCATTTACAATATTTCAACTTACAATGAGTTTATCAGGACATAACCCCATCATTAGTTGAGGAGCATCTGTACGTATGTGTTTGTCTATCTCTATGTGTTTATATATCTCTATATAGTTACAGCTAGTCTCTTCAGCCTTGGTTGGCTGATTTGAGGGAGAATAGCTGTTGTGATCTATGCATTATCTTTATGACTTCAATGAGGAAAGGATTCATTACAGCTCCAAAATAGCTAACAATAATGTTGAGAAAGGGTGACTAGGAACACAAACAGAATCATATTATTTTAGAGAAAATAAAGCACTTGAGAAGTGCTCGTTCAGTGATTGCTGCTACTGCCCATTTTTAAAAAGTGGGATGATTCTAATCTCTCCGAAGTCTTTATTTTAACAATGGCTAGCAAAGCCGATCCAGACAAACATCGTGCCTCTTGGCCTCCTGTGGTTGTGATTAGCTAAAGTGTGTTACTCTCTAGGAGAAGAACTGTAATATGTGCTATTGTACAAAGATCATGAACAAGTACTAGAAGATCAGGATTCTCAGCTGCTCTCCACTAGGAAATAGATATGTGGCTCTGGGAAAACGATTTACTCTTCTTGAGTCTTACTGTACTCATCTGTTCAGCAAAAGAATTGGTGTCATGTAAATTATGAAAATATCTGGATACAAAATGAACACCTTAAAGGCCCTCTGCCACATCTACTCATGCCCAGTCTTGGTGGTTTCAGTGCTGTCTGCAGATGACCCTCTGGGTGAGTAAGGGGGTGGTTGACTGTGGCCTACCGCTAGCCAGAAGAACGGGTTCACGTCACCAATGGGGGCCCTATGTGAGGCTCAGCACGGCAGCGTGGCCTGAACAGCCATGGGTCAACTTCTGCAACACCTCCACCAGACATCCCTCTGCTTCCTGATGTCTGCGCTCTGGCTCTACACTGAGATATTTTTCCCCCTGTGGTGTCAATTTGGCTTACAATCAACATAGAAGAAACTGCTTGCACCTCCCCGAAAATCACTGCCAGTGCAGTCTGGCTCTGGTGCTTGTACACATCGCATTCCATCTGTTCTTCCCTGAAACACAGGGTTGTCTCCCCAGATTCAGAGCCAGGCAATGAAACCAAGCAAGCAGAACTGACTTCTCTTCCAAGCTGTATGTTTCCTGAGCTACTCAGCATGCTGCACTGAATCTCGCAGTCAGCTCCAAGTGGACTGAATTTCAGAAAAAGGTGGAATTAGCCGTTCACATTTAGCTTTGACCCAATGCAACTCATTCTGAGCAACATACAAAGGATTCTGCCCATCTGAGTGACCACCTTGAATTTTCCTCCTTTGACCTAGCCTTGTACCTGAGGGCTAAATGGAAAAGATTGAAGGGTTTAGAAGTCACTTCTCAGAATCCTTCACTGGTATACCACATGACCTCTTTCCCACTCTAACACAGTCACTGGTTACAGGTGACTATTGTGGCTCCGATGCCATGCCATCCTCTTCTGTTTCCCTTCCTAAGACTGTGAGCTCCTTGAGGGTACCTATTGAATCTTATATTTATCTATTCTTGTATCTTGATCTATTATATCTTTATGTTTATCTATCTGGCAAAATGGCGTAAAGCAATTGCTCAATATATATTTATAATTATTATTATTATTGGTGCTAGAGAGGGTCTTTACCGAAATATTCATTTCGAGACCCCCAAATGGAAACGCTACTATCTTTTCTGAGTCTCAGTTTCTTCAGATGTGAAATAAAGCACCCATTTCATGAGTTTTTCGTGGATAATGTCCTAAGTGCTCAATGCCCAAGTTGTCACTCAATCAAATCATATTAGTTGTCAATATTTTTAGCCCCGGAACATACTTGAGGCAGCTTGACTTGTGTATTTTTTGTTGTTGTTGTTCTTTCAGAGAAGTAGAGACCCAATTTTTTTTCAAAGAACCAAACGCCTTCTATCTCCCAATCTGTGTTTTGCCTCAAAATAGCACAGAGAAACTCCTAAAGTCTGCTCTGTATCCCGCTGTCAGTAAGTCAAATAACATCAGAAAACCTGGCAAAACGACACTCCCATGCTTGCCACTGCACACACCAACACCAAAGATGGGCACAGACAATGCAGCAGGAACTAATCATATATAACAACTCTCTGAACTATACAACTCAGTGCCTACACTTTGATAGACACAGCTCTGTGAAGTGTGAAAAATGCCCCCGATAGCCTCACTGTAGCCATGGAAAGTCAGTATTGCTGCTGATGACAAAGATATCCTGAGAGAGAGAAATTGTGCTGCGACAGAATAGCAGCCACAAAAGAAAACTCATCCTGAAAACCAAGGGGAGATAAGGAAGGGGAGGGGCAGAGTATGAGGGAATCTGGCACACACATCTACAAGAAGGATATTGGAAAATGTTTAACCAAAATAACGCAGAATTCAAAACAAGTAGCTCAATCCGTGAGTCACTATACATGGCAAACAAAAGACACCTAGTGCGAAATGTGTAAAGGTGGAGGCCCTCACCGTGGCAGAAGCTTGGATGTGTCCAAATATAGCCGGTGTGATACAAGATCATGACATCTACTTAAGAGTGCATTTATTCGGGCCTCCAAAAGTGAATAGCCTGGGTACAATGTGAGGTATGCATTCTCTATGTCATCTCAACTCACACCCTACCAATTGCTCTTTTTGTGGCTCACACTGGGTGAGACTCTTCACTTTAAAGGTTAAAAAAAAAAAAGCAGAGTTCCCCCAAATCCCAATGAAACAAAACAATACATCTTTTGAAATCCAACAGCAAGTCACAAACATCCATAATTGCATATCATGGCCTAATGAACAGAGATAGAACCCCGTAGCCATCGCGGTGACACGTAGGCACAAGGTGCCCAGCAGAAACTGTCATCTCCCCAAGCATGGCATTAAAAAGCAGCTGTCCAGTGTCATCTCTGGGAACTGACAGTGTGTGCTCATGATGAATTGGGGCTAATTTGGAAACCTGCTTAGGACTGTGAGCATCAATTCTCTTCCTTCATAATTTGTACAGCAGTTTGATTGTGGGGCTCCACAACAAATAACTGAAACAAGTTCTAACTGCTCAGAAATTTAGTCTCATGTCTTTCCCGCCGCTTTTCCTATTCTCCAAGATAGCCCACATCCAACTGTATATGTGAACCTGAAATTATATTCAGGGGGAGGAGGAAAAGGAAAAAAAAAAGCAGCCAATAGATCTTTCACTTTGGGAATTGATTATCAGTTCATGTTCAAATGCAGCATTTATGGTCCAATGCTAAATACATAAAATATACGACCATTACAAATTCACCTTTCACTGCAAAGCAGCGCTTTGGTAGTGACATACTGTAGTGCTCGGTTAGAGCTTTTAGCATGATGAAGGCATCTTTCATCTTCTCCTAGATGCAGGCGAGGTGTGTTTCTGCCTGCAACAGGACCCCACACCCCAGGGAGATTGCGCGAGAGCTCACAGAGTATCTGAGTCATTCACAAGAGGGCTGCAGCTGCGTTGAAGGAGAAGTGCCTAGCTGGAGGTATCATATGCATGGGTTGCCATGCTCTGCTGAATCCAAAAGGAGAGATCAGCCACTGTCATTTTCCAGAGAAAGCCCAGAGACACAGATCTACTATCGCACATATCCAACCAATATAAGTTTCAGCAATCCCAAAAAGATGGTTTCATATAGGATATGGTGCACACTTGTTACTAGGAAAGAATATGCATGCCACATAAATCAGGGATGTGGTGAAAATGTGGAAATTTATGGGATGGATGGCTTTCCAGATTCCTCTAACTGAAACCTAAATCTCACCGTGTGAATGGAAGACAGCTTTTCATGGATTTGTGCAAATCATACAATAGTTAACCAGTATTGCTTATTTCATTTTTGAAAGTCATGGTCCAAATCTTGTCCTGCCTTTCTGAGCTCATGTTTGTGCCCTTCACATTCCCTTAGCTATCTTTCCGAAGCTGTCCCTCAACTTTCCTCTTCGTCCCTCCCTCCCTCCATCCTTATTTAGTCCTTCATATCCCCAGGATTCCTGACACGTGTATTTAGTTTCAATTCCTTAGTGACCGGCCTGGTAGAAGGCACACAGAAGGCATCCCACACTTTTGCTGAATGGATATGAATGAATGACAAGACGAGGATAGCACATGGCTTCATGACTATGTCAGACACACATGAGCACTTTTCACTTACTTCCCACTCTTAGATGTGCTCCGGACCTTTGTGGATGGAGAGTTGGCGCCGGGGTTAGTGTTTGGAGAATGCCGTTTATCCTTACTATACCCACAGAAAAAAAGAGAAAAAAATACATATATGAACCACAGAGGCAAAAGGCAGTTAGTCACTTCATTTTTTTCATTTAAAGATTTTAAAGTTCTCTCTCTCCTCTCTCTCTCTCTCTCTCTCTCTAGTATTTTAACCAGTGGTGCTTTTTAAAGATAAAGACAGTGACAAGCACTCCTCAAGGTCAAAGAAAACTACCTGTATGTATTCAAAGCTTGAGCTAACACCACAGCCTGAGGGATCTAGGGGGAAAAATGGTATGAAAATAACTAGTCTTTAACAGAATGTCTCATTTCCTGCCATGGGATTTTCATATTACAAGTTCAGTTTGGAAGTTACGCAGAAGTATATGGGTATATGGATGCCAAATGACCTCTAAAAGTCTTTGGAAGATATTATCAGATGAATTCATAATTTTCCCTCAAAATGTTACATGTGAAGGCCCTGAATTCAGATATTCTTTCAGAAGAAGCATCATCGGCTTCATGAGTAATTGAATTTAAATCTCCACCTTCAATAACTCCACAGCCTATCTCAAACCTTGGAAACAATTATGAAATAAATCACAAGAAAGGTCTACTCAGTCTCAACAGATTAATAAATGCATTCAAATTAATCACTTCGAGGTAAACAAAAAGGAATAATTGATTGGAGTCTCCTTGATTACTTTATTCTGTTTCTTTATCAAACTATTTTACCATTATCTTCAATTCAGCTGCCCTGCCTTGAAATTATGACTTTACTTCATCTTCAGATTTCCAAGGAAACCAGTTCAAAGTCTTTCTCTCCACTTCATGATATGTGGAATTCTTTATCCCGATTTCATTAGAAATATTTTTTGTTGGGAATATCTACATGAGCATAACCACTCATAAAAATTGAAAGTAATAAGGAAAAAGGCATACCTTGGCTTTCAGTGTGTATACTAGGACCTTCCAACAGTACAGAATAGCGTTTCAAATAATGTCAAAGAGCTTTCAGATGCTCATGAATCTTTGAAGTATCTCAGAAGTGTCTGTATGTCACTGTATTTTTGTGAGACGGAGTCACAAATGATACTCTGCTTTACATCCATCTGCTTCAAATAGCTACACAGATGTGATTGGAACAAGAGATAATGAGGGCTTCCTGTGATTGCAAAGTTAATAAAGATGTGTGTTGTAAAGACAGTCAGACAACTAGCAGACATCACAGTCTTGATTCAGCATTTGGGAGATCCAAAGCACCCCCTTGCATTGAGAGACAACAAGGTGAGCTCTGATTTTGATGCTCAGTGGATGGCAATGGAGAGAGGAGCTGCAAATTCTGTCTTTCAGGAGGTGTGAGAAGCCACGGAATGAAGTTCAGGGATTCCTTCACAGTGTGGGGACCATGTGCTGCTCACTCTCACCAACACGTGGCTACATGCTGAGTAGGGACTGAAAAACCTACTCAGTGGTGCCCCTACCTGTCTGGGAGCTGGGAGCAAACCAGCTTCCCTCCTCATCCAGAACCAAGCTCACAAATTAGTTGACAATACCAAACAACTAGTCAAATGTTTCTCAAAATTGGCTCTTGCAGAAGGTCGGTGCAGTCTGATGCAAAGTAAGCATTATAGTACATGTCAGGAAATACACATGCTCACTTCTGCAGCCTGGTCACAGGTCATTGAGCTTTGCTTTTTCTAGCCCCTCACTCAAACAGCGAGCAGTAGGACATTTGCTTGGAAGCATTCTGCAACATGGGATCTTTCAATGTGTCACCTGCATACTACTGAGCTCAGAGTAGGTGATCATCTAACTCATCCTGAGATGTCTCTAAGCTCAGGCATCTACATTCTTCTGCATAAAAGAACATCAATCCCATGGCTAAATTCCCATGTCTATGCCTAGGGCTGGAGGGTCTTTTATAATCTGAATTACCGATGCCCCTGCGCAAAGTCACTTGTGCAATGCAAGGCACAGCAAGACATCAGGGGAAATGACAGCTGGTAGCTGGTCTGGCAGCTTTATTATTGTTAAATGCTGCTCTGCAGGCCTCAATCCTGGAACAGTAGTCCTGTAAAAGACAGGAGCAGGGACCTTTCTGACCTTTGCCAAATCTTGCAAGTGCAGATCTTAAGGGAATAAAAACAGAAATATTCCAAGGACAAATCAAACAGGGATGATATGACATGAAGACTTGGGGTGAAAGTAATCAAATAATTCAAAATGTTCTGTGCAAACAACAGATACTTTCACTGAAGAGAAATGTATCAGAAATGGGAGGAGGCAAGAGAACTTATGGCTGGTTTGGATCTTAGGAGCTTAATTTTGTAGATATACTAAGGACAGCTGTGCACACAAAGAAAGGCCTGCCATCATTCCTTCTCAAAGATCTGAGCTGGGTAGATAAGCGTGGGCAAGATGCTATAAATCCAGTACCTTGAGACAGAAAGAGAGCTAAAACAGTGAGCTCAAAGACCCTGAGTTTTCCAGAAGTCCCTCAGAAGAGAAAGAGAAAATATAGCAGCCAGAGACTGCTGGGAGCCACAAAGATCTGGAAAGATATGGGTCAAGGACCCAAAGATTAAGATGCCGCCAAGAATCCTGGGCACTGAAACATCAACAGTCCCAGGGATTTGCAGGAATAAGCCCTGCCTGTTTTTAAAATATATGCATGATCATTTGGGGTACATGAGATTGGGGAGGGGACTGCTTTGAATATAAGCTAGCTCCTGATCTATTTATCTGAAGCAGACCTGTTCTGTTGTCACTCTTTTGATTTGTCTGTTTCCAGACCACTTGTCAACCCTCCTCACTTTCATCTCCTCTTTGACTTGTAATCTCAAAAGCTGTGGCTAAAATCCCAGAGGGCACAGATCCAGGCTTCTTCCACTGAATTTGAGTAGCTATCCTCTTGTGAAGCTAAGATCCTTTCCTCTCTCAGGTGCCTCCCAACCAAGCCTCATCGAAGGTCTGTGAAAACAATTCTGGGTGAGTTGCTCATAGGAAAAGTTAATGAGCGTCAGCCCTCCTCTGTCTGCCTGGTGGGCTATCCTCTTGTGTATCAAGTAAGCCTTTTCTACAGGCTCCATACATGTCTCCGACACTACCTAAGTGAAGAAAAAAAAATACTGCAGTATTATGCACATTGTATCCAGGTAAGAAAACTGGCAAGCTCATTTCTTTAGCATTTTCAAAGTGTGTCTGATTGAATAATTTGATGCTGAATTGGTATGCAATGTACTTAAACCAAAACGGCAATCAGATCCACTCCTCTGTGGAATCTTCTCTTCAGAGAGGTACTTGTGGGAGAGAAACCTAGTGGTTTAAAACACACTCAATTCATTTTCTTAATGGTTGGCATACAGAAGTAGCTGCACATTCCATACTACTTTTTAAGTTCTTTTTGGAATTAAATCATATCCCAGAAAAATAATTGTACTGCTGTAGCTGCAATGGTATTGAAATTTTAAAAATTAATTTTCAGAGTCCTAAGAAATGAAAAATATATTTCAGAAGACAGTGTTTGGCTGTAATGCTTATTGTCTATCTTTTTCTGGTAGTTAACATGAGGCACCTGTAGATCTTATAATTTATCTGTCTCTCCAGCAAGCTTTTAAGTGGATGCTTGCTATGATTTGAATATGGTCTCTTCGCACCAAAACTCGTGCTGAGGATTGGCCTCCGGTACAATGGTTTTGAGAGGTTGTGGACCCCTTAAGAGGCATTTTGATCACAGGGACAGAACGCCCATTAATGGATAAATGCCATCCTGGGGCTAGGTTCCTTATAATGTGAGCCGGATTCCATGCCTCTCTCAAACACATGTACCTTCTTCTGCATATACCCATTTGCCACTCTTACAGGCACTCCCACTGCAGGGGCATCTTGATTCAGGGACACCTGCTTTTTGCAAACAATTTGATTAAATAACCGAAGCATTTGGTAACTTTTTGCTCTTGTTTGGAACTCCGCACTGGGTGATGAACATAATTGTGACCATCTTTCCTACATGAACACAAACATGGCCATCTTTTCCAAAATTGTGGAATGAATTAAGTTTGTGAACCAAGGTACCATTGTATATGTCATCTGCTTCATTGGGATGACACATGAGGCCCTCCCTCCACAGGTGTTACTGGCTAATCTTGAATTTCCCTGTCTTATAGAACCATGAGTTACATAAGCCTCTTTTCTCTATAAATTATCTAGTCTCTAGTATTCTGTTGCAGCAACAAAACACAGACTAAGGCAACCCTCAAAATACTTGCTGAACAAATAAATCAAAAGCCTGCGTTCAGGCCCAGTGAGAGTATGTCATGATCAACTGTCTGTGAATCTATGGCACCAGTGTGTGGGAAGGAAGTGGTGACACACAAGTCACCTGTCTTCCATCCCTGAAAGAGAATGATCTGGGAGAACTTGATTCTAGTTACTGATGTGGATAATCATGCAGATTATAAAGACAGGTGAACTTAAAATAATTCTCAAGAATGCTTGCTTAGAATATTGGACAGTGCCTGTAAATAATAACAATATACAATGTGTTGCAACTACACAGCTCTTAATGTTTACCAGTATGTGTTTTTCTATGCAATAACTAAAATGAACACAAGCTATTGTTAAGGGATTGTCTCAAGTGTCTCTGGAGGAATTGGAGGCTACGCTTTGCTCCCCCGAGACAACTCAAAGTTCCTGAAAAGCTCCCAGACTGATAAAATGCACTGAAAATACATAGACTTGGACCAGACATGGCGATACATGCCTGTAATGCCAGTACTGTGGGAGTCTGAGGCAGGAGACTCTCAAGTTCAAGTCCAGCACAGGCAATTTAGCAAGATCTTATCTCAAAATAAAATTACAAAGCAGCTGGAGATTTAGCTTGGTGCAAAAGCCCTGGGTTCAATCCCCAATACCATTAAAAAAATGAAAGAAAGGAGACATAGACTCTTTGGGGATGGAAGCTCCTCTACTCTGCTTCCCAAACAGGTGCTTGAGTTCCCTTTACAACTGATCCACCAAGTGATAATC